GACGATATTGATGGATGTCTATAGTAAACCAAAGTCATCCTTTAATCCCTTTTTTTGCTTCAATCTCAACTATATACCATAGAAAAAAGTCAAAATTGAAGATTTAGTTACGATTAGAAAGAAACTTTTTTGCCCTTTTCCATAGGTCCTTTATTCATACTCATTCAATTGGAAATTTTTGTCCAAAGAAAGACTCTGTTTCGTAATCTGATAATCAAATTTTCCATTTTTAGTTCACTCTTGAATACAAATCACGAGAGTTGATATTCTTACTCGAATTTTTCATTGAGAGGTAAAGGATTTAATCCTTTTAAGAAATAAAGTTTTTGACCGGAATATTTGCCGGTGAACCTTTAACTATTACGGTTCTAATGGAACGAATCGCACTTTTACCACTAAACTATACCCGCTATGATGTTATTATAGTATATATAGAAACCTTTTGTCGACTAAGAGAATCCGGCTTAATCATAATTAAGGTAGAATTGCAAAAGAATTCGAGGAGAATTCTAAAAATTCGAAAATTAGAACCTTTGGCTATTTCTTCAGAGAATCAAATCGGATTAGGAAAACAAATGTATTTTTCATTTTTTTCTTTTTCATATCATATATGAATCAATGTTTTATATATTGATTCATATATGATATGCTTGGTTAATTGCAATATTGCGTTAGAGATCTCTTTTTAGAGCCCACCTTACTTTATCGAAACTTTATCGAAACTTTATCGAAATTCTAAAGGAAATTAGAAGAATTACGGAGGCAAGCTTTCGCTTTTTCTAGATTTTTGGTTTTATTATATACTAATATACTAAAGCCTTTTTGGATTCTATCTTTTCGAATTTTCTTTTTGATTTCTTATTATCTTATCTATCGATTATACAATAAAGAAAATTTCTTATAGAATTCAACTTTCCTTATACAATACTCCATTTATTTCTTTATATAGATATTCGAAAATCGAGAAAATCAACTAAAAGGTATGGTCTAGATTATAGACTAGAATATGATAACCTAGATTAGGTTAATATAGAATCGAGAGAATAGAGAAGTAGGAATGGAATAAAACGAAAGGAAAGGGGTAATAATCAAAAAAGAGACAGAGAAATGGCACCTCTTTTTTTCTTGCCCCCCCTTACTTAATAATGTAATGTAAGAAGGGTAATTCACTTTTTTCAATTGGGAGAGATGGCTGAGTGGACTAAAGCGTCGGATTGCTAATCCGTTGTACGAGTTTTTCGTACCGAGGGTTCGAATCCCTCTCTTTCCTGTTCCCTTAATAACTTTCATCCTTTTTTTTNGTCATATAGTATATCTTTCAAGATAAATTTCTAGATTAGTCATATAGTATATCTTTCAAGATAAATAGATTCAAAGATAAAAAAACAAAGAACATTCCAAATCAAGCAAGGAACTGTTCTTTGATTTTATTCTTCACGTCCAGGATTACGTCCTGGATCATTCGATAAGAATCCGAAGATGAAGAGAGAAACAAAGAATATTACTACTGCGTAAACAAAGAGTTTAAGAGTAAGCATTAGACAATCTCCAAGATCTTTCTTGTTTTCTTTGAAAAAAAAGAAACTAGATTCCCCCTTTTTAGATCACATATTATTTTTTCACACCAAGAAGGGGAGCGGTTCCTAGAAATTTCTAGAAATCGAGAAAAATTCGAAATTGGTAAGGTAATAAGACTTAAGCCTTTCATTCCCAAAAATTTGCTTTCCTACCTATAATTAGGTATTGCGGAAAACCTAATTGAAAAAGGGTCTCTTTCAATGGAATCAAAATCAATCAGAATCAGGAAATGGGCTAATCCTGATTTGTCCCATTTATACAAAAATTTTCATTAATTAAGTATTGATAGTAGAATTCGAAGACTTATTTGATCTTCGAAATTCTTAGACTTTTTTTAGGACAGCATTCAAAGTCTTATCGAAAACTTACAGCAGCTTGCCAAACAAAAGCTAATAGAAAAAAGAACAGAGGGATTACTGGCATAACATCGACTATTGGATTCAAAAAAGCGTAGGCTTCCGGCAACTTTGTGAACAAAAAGATGCTTGAATAAAGAGCAGAATTAAGACAGATACAAATGAAACTAAACAGGTTAAGCATAACAAGCATTTCTTTCTTAAAGACAATTCAATTGTATTTTGACTTTTGACTAAGTTATCAATATTCCATTGATAGAAGATATCCAAATTGATATTTAAAGTTTCACAAGTAAGGTAGACTAAAAACTTTAAACTCGCCCAACCAAAAATTTTTCAATTCTAAAAAAAAGAATAGAAGAAATCCTATATTTCATACAATATCTTAATTGAAGTATATATTATGATCAAGAAATTTCATTTAATTGGATAGTTACCCATATCAAAATCCAAACAAGAAGCGACCTAGCTCAGAGATATTTGGACAATAGTGGACAAAGAACAAAAACTCATCTACTATTATTAATACACGACACGTTTTAATTATTGTTAACTCAAAATCGAAATGGGGCGTGGCCAAGCGGTAAGGCAACGGGTTTTGGTCCCGGCGATTCGAAGGTTCGAATCCTTCCGTCCCAGAGCATACGGATTCCTTTTATTTTCTATTTGATTTTATCGAAATCAAAAATAAGAATTCAAAAAAAGCGGGGGCCTTGTCTTTTTGAAGCACTTTCCCTTTATTTAAAGGTTAAAAAGTATCTATCTAATAGATACCTTATTTCTCTAAGGTATTTCGAGATAGTCATTTTTTGCTTTAAATTGAATTCCTTTTTTTCTTCATCATCCCTTCTTTTATTAATTATTAACCCCCTTCGATTTCTATTGACAACAATATATCAAATAAATATAATCCAATCCGGGGAATTCGATCTTATTTGCGGATCACCTATCCCTATTCCATAGGTCTCGTTTTATTTCTTCATTCAAATACAACTCAATGCGATTGTCAAAATTGATGGAAGACTAAGGTTTTTTTGAAAAACGAAAGAGTGTATTATTCAAAAGTTATCAAAAAAGTTGAAAGTCTCTTATTATTCGAGTATATAGAAGATAAGGATCTATCTTTCTTTTTTCGAATCAAAATCGATTGGAATCCTTTTTGATTTCATTTTCTCTTCATTTTGTTAGAGTTTTCTTTTTTGATTATCTTCTACAATTCCATGGTCTTCTTTTTTTGATTTTGATTATATCTCCATAACCTAATTCTTTTTTATAGGGGTTGCTAACTCAATGGTAGAGTACTCGGCTTTTAAGTGCGGCTAAGCACTTTTACACATTTGTATGAAGAAAGGGGTTCGTCCATACCATCGGTATGGTTGGTAAGACCATGACTGATCCTCCAAGGAATGAGTGGAAAAAAGCGCATGTCATATCAATTCAAAATTCTGAGAATATTTTCTGTTTACTAGATCAATTCAAAACCCTGTTTGGATTCTTTGTGTGAGATAGAACAAGAATGAATCAAAGTTGGGTCGAGTTTAAAGTGAATATTAATAAATGGATAGAGCTCTATGGCTCCAATTCGAAAGGAATTCACAATTTAAGGGGAACAAAAAAGCAACGAGCTCTCGTTCTTAATTTGGAATGATTTTCGAATGGAATTCCTAATTCGATGTTAAAAATCGATTAGTGCCTGATGCGGAAAACCCCATTCCTTTTTTTTTTTGAGTGAGTCCTAATCCTAATTATTAGCCATTTTCCACCAGGAGAGTGACTGAATGTGTAGAAGAGAGAGTATATTGATCAAAAAAATTCCAAAATCAAAAGAGCGATCTTTTTGAAAAAGTAAAGGATTTCTAGCTTTCTTCTCAGTCTTTAATCCGAATGAGCATAATGAAATTAGAGGGAAAAGAAAAAAGAGAGGCTAGAGATTCCGTTAATGACTTTACCCCATTTATGAGGTAGCTATTATACCTTATTCTTTTTATGATATCGCACTATGTATCATTTAATAACCAAACAAATCCCCTATGCTTCAATCAAATCGAACGGAAAATGAGAATAGAAAAATATGAAAGATTTTTCAAATTAGATAGATCTCAAAAAAAGGACTTTCTATACCCACTTATGTTCCGTGAGTCTATTTATACCCTTATTCATGATCGTGGTTTCGGTAGAGTGATTTTATTTGAAAATCGAGGTTTTGATAATCAATTTCGTTTACTAATTGTAAAACGTTTAATTGCTGGAATCGATCAAAGAAATTCCCCCCTTTTTTTTAATGATTCGAACAAAAATCGATTTGTTCGGTACAACAAGAAATTGTATTCGAAAAAGATAGCGGAGGTCTTTTCCATCATTGTCGAAATTCCATTTTCGCTCCAGTTCCAACAAGTATCCTCTTTCACTTTTGAAGAGTTAGAAATTGTAAAATCTCATAATTTACGATCGCTTCATTCAATATTTTCTTTTTTAGAGGGGACATTTTCGCATTTAAATTATGTCTTAGATCTACGATTACCTTATCCCGTTCATCTAGAAAAATTGGTTCAAACTATTCGTTACTGGGCGAGAGATCCCTCATATTTGCATTTATTACGACTCTTTCTTCACGGGTGTGGGAATTCGAATCCACTTATTATGTCAAAGAAATCGAGTTCCTTTTTTGCAAAAGGGAACCCAAAATTCTTCTTATTCCTATATAACTCTTATGTATATGAATGTGAATCCATCTTCTTTTTTCTTCGTAACCAATCGTCTCATTTACGGTTAAACGATTATCGGGTTTTTCTTGAGCGAATATCTTTCTATGTAAAACGAGACCATTTTGCCGAAGTCATAGCTAATGATTTGGCGGATACCCTATGCTTATTTAAAGATTTTTTCACACATTATATTCGATATCAAGGAAAGTCCATTCTGGCTTCAAAGAATCCGTCCTTTCTGATGGAAAAATGGAAATATTATCTTGTCATTTTATGTCAATATCATTTTGATGTGTGGTTTCAACCCGAAAGGATCCATATGAATGCTTTTTCCAAGCATTCTCTTGATCTTTTGGGCTATCGTTCAAGTCTACGACTAAATCTTTCAGTAGTACGCAGTCAAATGCTAGAAATTTCCTGTCTAATCGACAATTTTATGTATAATCTAGATACAGGAATTCCAATTATTCCTTTAATGAGATCCTTGGCAAAAATGAAATTTTGTAAGACAGCAGGACATCCTATTAGTAAGTCGAATTGGGCCGATTCATCGGATTCTGATATTATTCGTCGATTTGTCCACATAGGCAGAAATCTTTCTCATTATTATAGCGGATCCTCAAAAAAAATGAGTTTGTATCGAATCCACTATATACTTCGATTTTCTTGTATTAAGACTTTGGCTCATAAACACAAAAGTAGTGTACGTGCCTTTTTGAAAAAATTAGGCTCAGAATTTTTTGAAGACTTTTTTGCGCATGAAGAATCCATTTTTTTTTCAAGAGCTTCTTCTATTTCACAAAGATTATGCCGAAGGCGGGTTTGGCATTTGGATATTCTTTCTATCAATGAGATGTTGAATTAAGAAGAATTGGTGATGAAAATATGGAAATGTGAATGGAAATGATGAAATGGTCATGCAATAGAGGAGTAATGATTGAGCAACTGAGTAGTCATCTTCCTTAGGACTAGCAGTTCCGTATAGGTGGGGAGTGGGCTTTTTTTGAAACGTATATACATAGGAAAAGCCGTGTGCAGTGAAAAATGCAAGCACGGTTTGGGGAGGGATTTTTGCCGATAAGGCAATTTTCTACTCCATCCGACTAGTTCTGGGTTCGAGTCCCGGGCAACCCATGCGAATTTTTAGCATAGTGGAATTCTAGAAAGTCCTAGCTTATCTGTCTAAAAATTTACCTCACAATTCCAAATTTGGAATTTATTGAAACTTTTTTCATTTCACAAAATAATTCTAATGAATCGATATGGTCAAGATCGGAAAGATAGATCTATCAATGCTCGTCTTGGTTGACACGGGTCTATAAGTCATGCTATACTGTTCAGTAACAAGTCCCTAGTTTTCTCGATTTTCCTTTTAGAGAATTCCCGTGCTTGGGAGTCCCTGATGATTAAATAAACCAAGATTTTCCCATGACTGCAATTTTAGAGAGACGTGAAAGCGAAAGCCTATGGGGTCGTTTCTGTAACTGGATAACAAGCACCGAAAACCGTCTTTACATTGGATGGTTTGGTGTTTTGATGATTCCTACTTTATTGACCGCAACTTCTGTATTTATTGTCGCTTTCATTGCTGCCCCTCCAGTAGATATTGATGGTATTCGTGAGCCCGTTTCTGGATCTTTACTTTATGGAAACAATATTATTTCTGGTGCCATTATTCCTACTTCTGCCGCTATAGGTTTGCACTTTTACCCAATATGGGAAGCGGCATCCGTTGATGAATGGTTATACAACGGCGGTCCTTATGAGTTAATTGTTCTACACTTCTTACTTGGTGTAGCTTGTTACATGGGTCGTGAGTGGGAACTGAGTTTCCGTCTGGGTATGCGTCCTTGGATTGCTGTTGCATATTCAGCTCCTGTTGCAGCGGCTACCGCGGTTTTCTTGATTTACCCAATTGGTCAAGGAAGCTTTTCGGATGGTATGCCTTTAGGAATATCTGGTACTTTCAATTTTATGATTGTATTCCAAGCGGAACATAACATCCTTATGCACCCATTCCATATGTTAGGTGTAGCTGGTGTATTCGGCGGCTCTCTATTTAGTGCTATGCATGGTTCCTTGGTAACCTCTAGTTTGATCAGGGAAACTACCGAAAATGAATCTGCTAATGAAGGTTACAGGTTCGGTCAAGAAGAAGAAACTTATAATATCGTAGCTGCTCATGGTTATTTTGGTCGATTGATTTTCCAATATGCTAGTTTCAACAACTCTCGTTCCTTACATTTCTTCCTAGCGGCTTGGCCTGTAGTAGGTATTTGGTTCACTGCTTTAGGTATTAGCACTATGGCTTTCAATTTAAATGGTTTCAATTTCAACCAATCTGTCGTTGATAGTCAAGGTCGTGTAATTAATACTTGGGCGGATATTATTAACCGTGCTAACCTTGGTATGGAAGTTATGCACGAACGTAATGCTCATAACTTCCCTCTAGACTTGGCTGCTCTTGAAGCTCCATCTCTAAATGGATAAGATTTCCGTCTTAGTGTGGGTGAGTTTTTGAAAGAAAAGGGGGGGCAATAGAGGATTGCTATTGCTCCCCTTTTTCTTTCTGAATTGAATATTTAGTTAATAATGTAGTACTGCTCTATTTTCTTTCCTTTCTACTTTAGTTGATTTTTCCTTTCAACTTTATTTGAAATGAAAATTCTGGTAATTTCGAAGGAATTGTTAGTTAAATGGAGTATGGGGGGCGGATGTGGCCAAGTGGATAAAGGCGGTGGATTGTGAATCCACCATGCGCGGGTTCAATTCCCGTCATTCGCCCTTTTTTTGGATTTCGCTTTTTTGAAAGGATGAAGAAACAAATTGTATTTTCTTTCCTATTTCCGACGTCGACGAAGAATCAAATTTGCACTATATTTCTTCCCTTTTCGACTTCTTCTTCCAAGTGCAGGATAACCCCAAGGGGTGGCG